TCCTGTTACTGTGCCTTATCCCCATTGCAGGAGCACCTGCACACACACCCAAGTGACACCAGAACCAACCATCCACCCTGTCAGCTCTACTAGCATTCACCTCTCTCCAGCTCATTGTTATTGTCAATAAAGACTCCTACGTACAATCTGATACTGGCCATTTAATTGGGTTCATCTTCATTAGTGGGGTGTAGTCTTCATACCAAACTGATATTGTGTCTCTGTGCTGTTCAACACAAAAACTGAGTGGCCCATTCAACAATCATGTCATGATCATTTCAGCCTCTTCTGCATATCCACATTGTGCAATATTTAACCTCTTTCTCATGCATTACTGCTTGGCAGATCATTTATGCTACTGCTCGCTGACATCATTTCCCATCTACCGGTGTCCCATTTTTGCCTTCCAGCATCTTAAAAATCATATATATATATATAGATCAGGAAAATCACATTTGTTTTTAAAGTAGTCAGTCTGTGATGAGCTCAGAGCTACAAATCTTTATTACAGAGAGATCCAGTGACTGAAGAAAGGCACTAAAATTAAAATATGTTTGGGACTGTACTGTGCCGATTAATTTTAATCTCACACTCTAAATGCAAACTTTTAGAGGAAAGCGGCAAAAGTTTATTACAGTGCTAATTGAAGTGCAGTAGATTCCAGCATCTTTACTTATTGATGTTCAGTTTTTGTTGGTTTCCACTCAGTTAAATAGCCATTTTGCAACTGGAGCTACTTTGTTGTTGTGGCTGTGGACTGAATAAAATCATCACACAATCTGTTACTGACTCCTGTAAAAACAGTTGGACTGTAAAATTCCAAATTATTACACAATGAGATTGGCTTCTAAAAATCAATAAACATTTGAAAGAACAAATGACACTGGACCAATCATTCTCACTTCTCCAAACTCTTTGGACATGAAGTATGGTTCTTATTAGTGCTCTATACACATGTAGAGAACCTAGAATCATGATAGGCCATATTAGGGTGTAGGTTAATAGCTGTTCAGGAAAGGGGTTTCATGAGGGGTCAGTTGACTCTTCACTTTTATTTTTTTAGGAGCTTAAAATAGAAAAGGATCAGAGGTGAGTGTTCTAATTCTCAACCCTAGCAAAGAGCTTTTTCAGCTTGGTGTTAGAAGGAGGACAACACATCATTTTCAGGACCTGATACCTCCTCTGCATGCACCGGGGGAAGCCTGTGGTGAGGTGGCTGCTGGAGCATATCAGGGTTGGATCTGTCTTGCCAAGTGATACTTTTCCCACTGCTTGAACAGAGAAGATTCTGCCTGTGACATGTGGGTTTTTATACATCTGTGCATTTGGTGTTGTGTGTTTATTCGAAGACAAAACTTCATTTATGGATGATATATTTTGTTCATTGTTTTGAATGTTGACCTTTACAAGGAATTTGCTGGGTTTGAGGTATTAGCTGATTCAACCTTTGCAATCCTGCCTAAAGCATAGCGGTGGTGGTTAGATTGATTTGGTAGTGCATATCTCTTTGACAAATTGCTTTTTATCCTTTGTGGATCTGGAGGCTATCCATTCTTTTTTATATCTTTTTTAGATTCGCATCCCTTCATTTAGTAGCAAAGATGGAGAAACCATTTTTTTGCTCTGAGTGTCAATGCTGAAAATGTACTGTGATATTTTATTGGCATTGTAGAAGAAACAGACAGGTGGTCTAACACTAAGAGTTAATAGGTTTTTAAGAAAGGACCTGAGAAATGAAGGTGGGCCACATAAAATCTCTGCAATAATCCCAGTCTGCTCCACATACAGGACATAGTTTGACAATGTTTTTGCTAATGCTCACTCAAATCATTATAGGCATTTTCAGCTCAGAATACATTAAAAAAAAGGCCAGTCAGTTTGAGGACATGTAATACTCCTAAGAGCAGGTCACAAAAGCAAAGTAACATCTAATGATCCCATAAAGATTACATGTGACAGTAGCCCAACTTTAGTCACTAATGAAAAGGTGCTGACTGTAGCATCAGGTGGCTGTTACCCTAGCAAAGACCTCTGATTTATGTAAACTGAGGTGAGCAATGAGGTCTGATATACATAATGTTTATGGCTTTATGCTTGATGGTTTTATCATGACCTTTATAGGCATGACAGAGGCTTGAATGTGTAGGTGTTTATTCACCTGCACATATTATTCCAGACTCTACTTATGCCTGAACATATTGATGTATAGCAGCCTGGTAATGAATCTAATGTGACTCCATCACTGTTACACATATCCATCCATTAACAGGTCTGAAACAGCATTATTCAAAGTTCATCTTTTGTGTGTTGTCAGGAAGGTCGAAGACGGCTGAAGCACAGTCACTGGATTCATCAGTCTGTATAGTCACGTCGTGTAACACGGTGATCCTGCAGGACAGCAGAGCGTTAGAATGATGAGCTGCCATGATGTTACATACTCTCTGACAGTGATTGAAAATAGTATCAGTGAGCCAAAATATGTTTTCATTATCAACAAACCACTTCATCAAAGGCTCAATTTGGAGTGCACTTTTGTTAAATGGAGAAACCTCAGCAGAACCTGAGCAGGGTTTTTAGCAACTTTAGCAGCAACTTCAACTTTAATTCTGTTGTACTGAAACACAAGCTTGTCTTGCGGGCAGGTGAAACAGAAAACCTGAACATCACAACAGAACATGGAGGACTTGGATAGAAGATGTATAGAAAATTATAAAATAAAATGTTCAAACACTTTTCAGAACCTAGCACATAAGCTAATGTAAAATGCTATTGCTTTGCAGCCCTGTCACCATTCACTGTTAAAGTGGGTATAATCAATATTTTTTGAGTAACAGTATGTGAAGACAATGGGAAAGCTATGTGACAGAGGCTGTTCAGAGTAATGGACCTACAGAGAATTATCACCGGAATCTGCAGCTCCCTTCAGTTTCACTGAGGTTTAAAATGAGTTTAACCTCATGGTTTATCTGTCTGCACCACAAACCTTAGTTCTGGTTCAGTCTCACTGCTCTCGCAACAATGCTTTGTACTGAAGTGAATGTAACATCACAGAAGTATGAGCAGATTTGGAAGAGCAGAATCAGATTTAAGCTTGCAGTCCAGATCATGTGTGTGTTTGTTTCTGAGTATGTCTCTCAGCTTTCTCCGGGGGATTTGGTATGAAAATATGTTCCTGCCAAAACATTGAAAGCACACAAACCAAAATTTGAACATGATTCAGTTTGCAAGTTAGATTCTGAGAGCATGTAGGCATGGATTTTTAAGAGCATAACAGAGCACACATTTGACTACACACAGCAGAGATCATGTCAGAGCTGGTGATACCTTCAGTCAGAAGAGCTCAGTGAAACATACTGTATATGGTGAAACATGGTGTAGAGTTCTCAAAGGAGCAAGAGATGAGGTAACTTTCTGAATGAATCCTTAGTGTTCTGAACCTGTCATGAAGTGACCATTACAGATAACTTAATACACTTCTTCGCTGGATTCACCACAGTTTGTGGTTCTCAGAAGAACATAAACGCCATAGAAAGTAGCAGCCTTGTGTTCTACTGCAGGTTTGACAATCAACACTCCCCCCTCACCCTCCCCACCTCAGATCCAGAAGCTGTTCCCCCGACAATCACCACTCTTCCCTCCAGCCACCCACCTCTAATGATCTGTGAAAAGGATGTGCGTGGCCTCTTTAAAAGACAAAAGATCAGAAAGGCACCAGGCCCAGATGGTGTGACCCCCTCCTGCTTGAAAGTGTGTGCTGATCAGCTGGCCCCCATCTTCACACTCATCTTCAACAGGTCACTAGAGCTGTGTGAAGTCCCCTCCTGCTTCAAATGCTCCACCATCATTCCAGTCCCCAAGAAAACCCCCATCAGTGGACTGAACGACTACAGACCTGTCGCCCTGACATCTGTAGTTATGATGTCCTTTGAAAGACGGGTGTTGGTGAACCTGAAGGACATCGTAGACCCCATGCTGGACCCCCTGCAGTTTGCCTACCGGGCAAACAGGTCAGTGGACGATGCAGTGAACATGACACTGCATTACATCCTGCAACACCTCGACTCCCCAGGGACGTACGCACGGGCCTTCTTTGTGGACTTCAGCTTGGCATTCAACATCATCATCCCAGACATCCTCCACTCCAAATTGACCCAGCTCACTGTGCCTGCCCCCACCT